ATAGATATTACGCAATGAAATAATTAAAAATATTAAAAAGACTTAAAGGAACAGATTCTCTGATATTGCGAGGGCTGCTCAATATTAATACCAAGTAATAAACTTCATAAACCATGAAATCATAAAATTAGCATGCTTAGAATTAAACGAAGAGTGCACCCACTGAGACTGTGAATAATGACAAGAAAGTGAGGGTAACTACAAATCATTAGAAATGAATTGCTTACTTTCGAAAAACCAACCATCTTACACTAGACCTTAGAGAATGGACTTATAATGATGCTCAACTAATATGTTAATATATCCATTTCATTCTTTGAACTTTGATTCAAACTTTTTCCATTCCTGGTGAAGTATTTAATAATTGTTAGTAAAAACTCGCTTTTACATCAAAGTTGTTTTTGTTCAGGTGTATAATTAATTCGTCTCATAGTTTATTGACGAGTGAAAATATTTTACTGTGAACCATTTAATAATAATAATAATCTACTTTATTTCCAAGACAGTACTTATAATACATAATGGATTCGTCTAGATGATTATGAACTGTGTACTCTAAAATTATTGAAAGTTTTTGTCAGAAAATTTTATCTAATCAACAATGACTTATTATTCTATATATGGATTCAACAAGTATTATGTCTATCATTGACGAGATTCACATTCTTATATTAAATAAACACTGACATTATTAAACTCGTTTGAGATGCGTGATAGATGATTTTATCATGACGTTGGATTTGATTTAAAGTGAGGGTGATTCCGCGAATTGCAATATTCAGTGTGAAATGAATTACACAACCAGTAGTATTAGGACGCCAGGCACAATAAAACAAGTTAGCATAGAAAGGACTGGAATTACATTAGGACAGAAAATTCGTTCATAACTATACTCCATAAATGTTAATGAATGGATTTCCGAAGTATGTGTGATTTCGCATCTCAGAATAAATTCACTTGGTCGAAGGAGTCAGGGATTCAGTATTATATAATGATAACAATTCGAACACAATCTAGTGTTCATAAGCATATCAAGGTAATAATTTGAATTTCTACTATTAACATTTCGTCTTTGGTTTAACACATTGTTGGATATATATTCGATGAAACTGATTCAGTTACCAGCATCTCACTCAACTTGCATATAAAACATTTTACAATTGTACTGAAGCTTTGTTTATCGAATCAACACCACACACTTGCAATCGGAATGAGGTAATGTCTACACCAGAGATATGCAGAGTTGCCAAAAAGAAGAAAAAGAAGTTGGAGCGACGAGGAGAGAAAAACCATATGTATGTGAAATAATTTATGCTTGGAACGCCATCCAGTTGTTGATGCTGCATCACTGTATGATAATCATCTAAATAAACCAATCAAATATGGAATTCTATTTTACCATATTGCACAGGGTTCTACAATTACATCAGCAAACACCCTGTCTCGGTTCATCTAATTATTATTAGTAGTACCCACACCTATTGTTTACGTTTCTACACAAGACAGTTTTGAATGATTGTCCTACCACAATTCAGAATTTTGTGATTGCGTAGGCGGGTTACTGCTGTACATCTGGTAAATTCGAACAGATTACCGCCTTCTTTATTTGAAATCAAATGCTAATTATGCCGTAATTTTCCTCCTTGATGAATCACTATCATTACCTGTTCCAGATCATTAACCACATTACTGAGACAACTATAAATTATTTTTTACATTGAGCGCATCTAAAATTGCAGTGGATGAATTGTAGGATTGATTTCCAGGGACACAAAAGGTAAACAAGCTGATCAGAAAGTTTAATAAACTCTAACCCGTAATCTAATCCCCGATCTCATGTTGTTTCATTCTGTGTAAGCTGCGCTGATTATCGCAGATTTCCTTCAATATATTTATCATCTGTTGACTACGCTATAAAGGTTCTTTTAATTTTCTTTCCAAAATATATATTTTCTTCCGACATATTTGCCAAAATATGCATGACATCGTTTGATTTTATGACAGTTCCCTTTCCAGATTCTTTAATAAATAATTTCACAGCAAAACTTTCAGATTTCTTTTCATACCGCTAGTTTCATAGAATAATAAATCTCTTACGAAATCTTAGCTGAAAGAGTCTTCAATTATTTTACCTTGAGGAAAATGTGTGATAAGCTCTCTGGTCTCAGGCTTAAACGTGAACGTTTCAAACTTTAAAAGTGAACAGTTTTAGGTGACACCTTATGACCAATTGAAGGCTTCTGAGAAAACACAAAGTAAATAATTGAAGATCAGACAGCTGTCATCCAACTGTAATTAAATTAAATATTCAATGTCAATCCTCTATGTGATGAGGTGAATCCGCAACTATTTATTGCATATGTTATCCTACATTAACTCATGATAACTAGGTCGCATGCATCGCTCATCAATAACTCCTGGTTGGATAAGAGGTTATTTTTCGGATACACTGGCTGCTGGATTCTAAGCAGATCAATCACAGATTAACAGGTTTCTCTGCCTGAGAATTAAACAACGAACAGCCGATTGCACAACATATTTGTAGGAGAAAATCTAGATGGAGCAGGCGTACATTGAAGAAAGCGTCAAATGACATCGCGCGCGAAAGGCATTCGCTCAAGTGCGTCGTCAATCTGAAGTTTAGTTGGAGGAGATCAAGTGAGAATGAGATGACAGAGTTGTAGCAATCGAGGACCCAAATGAAGCGGATGGCAGAAAACGGAACAAAGTGGAGGTGTGTTGTTGAATCCTTATGTTCCACTCTGAACGCTAGGGAACAATAATATTAATATAACTTAAATGACAGACGTAAATAAAAGTGTTTATGGATAATAGAGTACAATGAAGGTGTCCGTTTCAGACCCTTATTATATGAAATCTATGTAAGCCAGGAATATCAGCGGTATCGAATTTTTTCCCGCTGTAAACAACTAAATGACAGAGTGCATCGACATCTGCTGTGAAGACAACTGTAATTTTGTCATTAAAACCAGCTATACAGATTATGTTAACATTTCATTTTTTTAATCAGAAGAGCAGTAGACCAAAGCTGGAAAGAATCATGAGAATATTCAGGGATATTAAGCTGAAAAGATATCGATGACAAGGGACCGACTATGAAGCGCGACAAAATGGAATACAATTTTCAGCATATGTGATTTGTGGAATATTTCTGGCTAGATGAGATATTTATGACATTACTGACATCTGTTGAAGATAAATTACAGGATTATTATTTCTGAAGCCCTCTTGTGTAGATATGCATAATAAATGGATTAGATTCAACGTGCCAAGAAAAAAGACACTGAATGCATTAGTTCAGTAGGACGACTAATCACAGGCGACTAGACAGAAACAGGTAACTGCTTTGATCTTATCCTCCATATTGCATCCTCAGATACAAAAGCTGAATTTCCTGTAATACAACACGTCATATAAATAATATCCTTGGTCAGATTTCCGCTCAATTCTGATGCGAGGGTAGATATTCACGGGAATTTTCAGCTGGTGGTCGGACTTGTTTTCGCGAACTGACGGTCCACCTCAATGGCTGAATATTCAGACTTGCAATGAGTTGATAATATCTGGGCGTTTCCAGATCCACAGAATACGTGACAGATAGTTAACTGTTGAACATAATCAAGTATATATCACTAATATCAGGAAAAGTTTTGAGGGCTGTAGAAAATCTCAAATAAAATGCGATAGTATGTAAAAAACTTATACACAATGATACGTTTGCGTTTTCGGTAATACTTCGAGTAAAATTACTGCTCATGATAATATCAACTTTTGGAATTGTTTTGCTTTTCACACGCACAGAATCTTTGACTTTTGCTCGATAAATGTAAGTAAGATGAATACGATGAACTTTTTCCAACTTTTTAGAAACGGACACCTAGTAGAAAGATTCACAGTATATTCCAGCCATAAAGTTAATCAGCCAAATGTAGAGATGTACAGCGAAGGGACGCTTTAAAAAAAGCAGGACAGTCTTAACTGTATAACACATGAAAAAAGCATAGACGGAATTGGTGAGAGTGGCACGATTTCACAGATGTGCTGAAACAGAGCTGACTCACTAAGAAATCGAGGCGATCTTCAGCAGGTCACGGAAGTAGAACAGATAAACTCGAAAATCAGGTACTCAGGTTTCTAATAAAATATTTCAAGGTTATTCTTTAACCGCCGATGCCCTGTGAAACTAAAAATATTGAAAACAAAGAATATGGGAGGCTGGATACCATAAATACTCATAAAGACAATAACTATAGGTGGAGATACTTATTAATATTGATTGAATTGACACCACTTACACGAAACAGTAGTGCTTGTTTGCCGGTTCAACAAAAGTGATTGAAACCATGAAAATCCATCTAACTCGTTTCAGGCCCTGTTCATCGGTGGCGTACTTGGTTCATCATACCTGCAAGAACCAAATCACACGGAATCACTTGAACTCAGTTAGAATCAGCATAGTGAACTCTACTATTTCACTTAAATATGTTCAGCTACTCATATCTGCTGATCAGTAATATAAAATATCAGGCATAAACTGAAAGATATTGAGAAAAATAATCTATTTTAATTTTAGAAGTTTGTATTTTTGGCTTTTTTATTATTACCACTCGTGAGTGAGAGTCTCTGAAAGATTTTTTTCTTCCTTCAGAGCGTTCGTCTCTTCAGAAACTAGTCATAAGGATGGATTCAGGCTTGACACAAGCATTCACAAAAAATATCTGCGAGACTTCCACTGCAAAATAAATAAAACATACACTTACAAAGTGTATGAAATACATATGAGATGACAAATAATAATCCGCCAATCACACTGGAGCAGAGATTGTTGACAGCAACCAATGTGGTATCAGAATTTTCTACTGAACAGAAGTCTAAAGTACACCAGTATCTGTAGCGTCCCACTTATCCACACAATGCTAATAAATAACATTGAAACGTTTTATTGAGAGAGTTTGAAGCTTTAACGTCAGTTCAACAATATGAAATTATGTAAGCCCAAACATTGATGAATTTTTATTAGTTCCTTTTATCAGCGATAACTGTATTTCATGTTGAGTGTGAAATGTCGAAAATATGAATGCGTACACCAAAATAGTGTTTCTTACCTCAGGGATTTCTGAAACACAATCATCTCATATAACGAATCATTTCGATGAATATAGTTATTGCTATTATTTGTATTATACCTGTTGATAATAATAATCTGACAACGGCACGTTCGATTAAACTGTTTGTAATGCTTGAATGATCTCCATAATAGCTAGAATTTGTGGAAACCTTCTCTCAAGCCGAATCACGTTATGATAAGTAAAGTGATTTAAACAATAAGATAGAACTTCCTTTAATAACACGTATGTATATATACTCCATTAAACTGTATTTATTGTGGTCCGTCCTATACGTGTGGCAGTCACAATAGCTTATTCATGCTTAATAGAATTTCTTGTGGTCATCAGTAGAATGGTAGGTGACTAGACTGAGTAATTCGCTCCGGATAACACATAAGAAAGAGACGTTTACACTGAGAAGTCTGTTTGTCGTATATAAATGTGAACCAGTATAATGTTGATCTGGAATGGATTTTTCCTCATATTTTGTGGATTTATTGGTGGGAAGTTGGAAAAATTACTGCATATCTACAGCTAACCATCCCTAATAATATGCAAACTACAAACATTATTGTTGTAGTGATTGCAATCAAAAGTTTCCACGTCCGTCTGTTTTGCTCTGCGAAAGTATATCATTACACACGCCATTTTCAAGTAGTTCACATTTAACATTTCGATTATTCTGGTTGACAATCATTCTGTTTGTCTGTTTTTCCGAATTACGTGAAAAGTAAAAATGGGTTTAACAACAAAGGTGCGTGAAAAGAACGATATTTCCAAGGCTTTATTTTATAGAACACAAAGTTTGGAGTAACTTCTCCAGAAATCTGTCATCGAAAGGTAGGTTAATTTATTTGAATTCAGAATGAAAACTCCAATCAAACTAAGTATCTTATTTTATCGTGTGCACTGGTATGTTGACAATAATCATCACAATGTGTGCGGCTACCTTGTGAGTTTGTAATTTAATTACTTTTCTGAACAGCCTTATCTAAGGACCAGCTCTTCATAGACTGTACAATAGTTTCCTCATACCAGCTGTATTCTTGTGAGTAACTCAATGCAGAATTATATTATTTACATATCTTTATTCCGATATATTTCATTTCATTATTATTTTAACAATACTGTGTTTGATATTCTCCCACTTATGATCACTCAATCACTTCACATATTAACTACCATTTAAATCAATATCACATGGAACTTCGTCAGGTTTTATTTATTAGTGATTGAAGACAGTGAAAGCTCGCTTCCTGAAAGTCTGTGGTCTTCATTTCCTCACTGCGACTTATGTCAGTTGCAGCAATCAGTGTTGGTAGTGATTACGAAATTAGGTTAAGAAATCTGTTAAAACAAGTTGGTTGCAATTCTCAGGTTGTATCTGATGATCATATGAAATTATTAGAACAAGACATATAAGCGAAATATATTGTGGAGTGAGCTTTGTAGGAAGAACAATTACACAGTTTAACAAAGCTAATCAAGAGCATCTTCTTTAATGGTCCAGAAAAGGCCAAATAAAATCTACAGGATGTTCAATTTTGACTCATTTGATTGATGATAGTGCTCACCAAGTGGAAAATGTAGTGCTTTCAAAGTTATCTACTGCATTCCATCGATTTCATGGAACAGAATTCGAACCTGTCTTTAAACACATAGCTGGGGCTTCGGGAATTAATTTGTGAGCAACCCTGGTGTCTTTGAGAACAAAAGGAGTTTTTTCTACCTTTGTCTTTCCCTTACCCTAGTTAAATTTGATTCAAAATCCTCCTTTTTTCTTGTTTTCCCTTTTCCTCGTACTTTCATGACATTCATTTTAATTCTGAATATTTGTACACTTCATCTTCAGTATTACGTAACTTTTAAGATTTGATCTAATTTATTTATTGAATCGTCTGCATAAATACACATAACTGCCATCGTTATTCCAATCGCCACCTGTATTCACCTTTTTATCATTATTTTTTGTCATTATAATCATCGTCAATAATGACATTCAAAACATTTACCACATTAATATTATTATTTGATTCAGAAAGTCGCCATCATTAGCTGAAACATGTATATATAAATCTATGTAAATGAGAGTAAAGCGTGAAGAAGATCTAATTGAAAACAATACTGTTCACTTAGATGTCTTGTTATACCAATAACAATGGGAATATTTAAAGACCTGATATAAGATTATAACAAACATTTCTTAAGAACAGTTGAATAATGTTCATGGGAGTTGATTTCAGAATATATTGTTGTGCAAGAATAAATTATTTTGTAATTATTATCAGTGCCATACATCTACAATTATTTAGGACGGAATTTGTCTTTCAATGAAACTGTATTGTAACAATGAACGAGTGCTTTCGCTCCCCTAAGGCTTCGAATATTTCTTGAATGTTGTGTCTCATTTGACTAACTAGTTTCATTATTTTCTTCTTCAGGATGCTTGGCTCAGTCCCCACAGCAGTGTATCTTTTTGTTGAAGGCGTTCAAGAACGCTTACCAGTGAACATTGGACTGATAGTACTCGCTGTAAGTTTTAAATAATGCTGATTCTCCGTAGCATTCTCTTGCATAAAACTGCAAACATCCTAAATGAGAGACTATTCATATGATACAAAAGTGAGCACTGCTGTTCGGGTTCACTGTTACAGGAAAATCGTTCACAGTTCATTTGAAAGGATGGCTTGCAAATTTAGTGTAAGGGAAAGACAGTTATACCGACTAGGGAGATATAGCTTGGATCATTTATCGCAAAGTCATTGCATTATTTCCAATGACCTTGTTGTTACGTGTTGTTTCAGTTAAGATAAATGCAATTCCTGATGTCTTGGTTTACTGACTGTTTCCTTCTGCGTTTATTAAAGGATTATGGAGTGGTGAGTATATTGAATAAGTAACCGATTCGTTAACATAAGTGATTCAGACAACTTTAGATTGGACTACTTCGATAAGGAAATTCCCATGCAAGTGATGGTTTAGTTAATAAAAAACGAACTATAGAGTGGCCAATGTGAAATAATGACTAGGCAGAAAAACTTCAGTGTATTAGCGGTAGTTTTCAACCTCATTCAACGACTAAATACTGATTCCAGTTGATGTCGGATGATTCACAGTGAGGAGTGCAGCGATGAATATTAAGTGATGGCAAGAGTAAGACAAAAACACCAATAATATTGAAATAAGAATAAAACATGTGCACTGTGGTAGAGTATAATTCCATTATCACCTTGATATGATTATGAACAATAAATTGTGCTCGAAACGTCATCAGTAAACATTACTGTATAACATTGTGAGAATTTATCAAAACAAAATTTACCCATAATGAAACACCTGTAATATCCCGGACTGTGCTGGACTGAATTATGTTGCATACAATGCAGTCTGAGATGAAAAGAAAATGTTGGATGGAGAAGAATAATGCAGAAGATCTGGACGCCACGGATGACTTATGTCTATTGTCACACAAAGTCGGAATCAACTCGCAACAACTAATGGACTGACAGAAGAAGATGCCAGCGGTGATAGAACTTCGTATGGACGAGGAGGATGACGTCCATTGCCAACCATTCCTAAAATCATGCACCAGTGAGCACCAGTCACGTAAATTCGAGAGAAGTCACTGCTTTGATTTATTCAGGTGGCAAGATTTCGATTACATTCTGAAACACTTATTTTAATTCTCAGTGACAGGTAACTCGAGACAGACTTTAATTACTGTGAGACAAATTTGGAATATCGCTTTACTCTTCAAAAAGAGCACGATTTATGTCTTCAGTGCTAATGTGAAATCACAGCTACTATATAATTCAGAGACTTGATACAACACTGATGGAATTTATAACAGCCATTTAGAGCCTTTTATCAAGAAACGCCTTCGTTGACTCCATAATACATATCGGACTGTCAGGCGAATAAGATTGGCAACAGTGAAGTCTGTCAACATATTTCAAAATACATATACAGGAGGCAACGGACATGAAGAGAGTGTATGCATGGGGAGCCGCTGAGTGACCAGAAGCGTCAGGCCGTCCAATGAGACTTAAATTTAGGAAAAATGAGTTAACTGGTAGTTTGAAACTGACATGAAGGACGTCGTGTGAATATAAGATGAGAAAGTTTAGCCGAGATGAAATATTCCTTAAGGAAAAGTTATTGCTGAATTCTTATGTTTTACATGGAAACCAAGAAAGTAGTAATTATAATGTAGGGTTACAATCGTATGGTGTTGATAGCATTACGTTCTTTCCAAAAACGAGATGTGTACTGTTAATTTCATCATAAATTCCTTCATAATCCATTATCAGAATAATTCAACAATATCTTTATTATGCACAGTAGGTTTTTAGAGTAGTTTGTTCCGGAATATCTACTCATCATACACTAGTTTCAAGTAAAACAGCCATCTGCAGTATATAATATGACACAGTGATGTTAGATCTGAAGAATAAAATAATCCATTACGATATTTTTCTAGGGTCACATAAAAAAGGCTCAACGATAAGCTGGAAACCAATTAGGAGTATGCGTGAGTTCATTTGGAGAATCCCAGATATAAATGAAAGATTACAACAACAAGAAATAAAGAAAAGAAAATACACTGAATCATATTGAAATTTAAGTAGTCCAGAGTGTCAGACATGGAAGTTTATCCACTTCGCTCAAATCATAAGGTGATAATAATATAGTACCTTCGCAAAATTTTCACATTTGGAAAGTATTGTGAATAAATTATCATGGAGTTACATACTTCCACTGTACTGAATTTTTGTACATATATTAACGTGAATTTACCTTATCAAGCATCCTTCTATTTTCGTGTTTCAATCTAATCTGTGACTAATACAGGTTTCATTGTTGTCTTTCGGAATACCTTATCTAACAGCAGACAGGGCATTATGGAATATTTTATCATAGTTTCTGACGATGGCCGTCTCTTTGACTGCACTGATATTAGGGTATAAAATGGGAAAATTGACTAAGAAAGCCAGCATTATAGTGCTGGGATTCGCTGGCGGAATAGCGGCGTTGGGTGTCATTTTGCTGATTGCATAAGGGTTTGCTGGGCATACAGTAAGTAATACGTGTTCTTTATATGAATAATGATTTCAAAAATTTCCTATTTTCCACATACGGTTTATTTTACTTTGGCCTGATTACAAGGAAATACAGTTGTCTCAATGAAACAAAGAGGTGTCTAGTAGCTGATTCATCCTTTTTTTCAAATTATGCATAGCAGTCGCAAAATATTACAACTCCAGATGGATACTGTATTATCCATGAAATACAAAGGCTTCGTGTAACTGAGCAATTATTTTCAATGTCCCTCCTGAACCGTATATTGACAATAGTGGTACACGCTTGAATATTTGGAATGATAATGGTCTCTCCTGCTGGACGTTCACATATAAGCTACATACTTGTTGTTTACCTCTCTTCCTGTTGAAACTCAAAGCCAAATACTTCTCTTCGCGGTTGTGTGCTAGCGATGGCTTTGGAGGATTTTCTAAATGGAGCTGAATGTCCAGGATTCACCAGATGTTCTGTAATCATATTGTAAACCCCCTTGCGTTCTTCTTCTCATCAACCATTGACGACCTCCATCTCTACAATAGATACATTGATGATACTTTCAATATTTGTGATGAGAATTGTGATCCTAATTACATACTTCGAACCTTCAATAATGCCCACCCAAACATGGGAGATAAGCTGTCATACTGGACCATATCAACATACATATACAAGTTCACTTGCTCTTATGCAACTGAGGACATGCGTCCGCTCGAAAAACGCATTCGTGAACACTATCCAGCATAGTTAGGAAAGGGAGGACGCCACGGGGAATAGAATTTGATAAAAGAGCATCTGGTACACTGTGGATATTCAGCCACATTTGAACAGTCCTACAAAGCCATATACAAGATCCGATTCTTACTGTGGCCACCATGAAACTTTTGTCTCACCAATAATGATTACCCTATTTATTACCTTCCTTGCCCAACCTTCCCCGTCAATTGTTATATTTGCCTTTTACATACCTATCTGCATTATTAGATCTGGTTACAGCTTTTATCTTTGTACGTCCGAACCTCAGCATCACTTCGGTAATAATGCATCCTTAACCTGGAGTTATACAAACTGATGAGTTTTCCGGTAATTGTAATCCTATTTTGTCATTTCTACCCAGTCTTCCTGATTATTTCCCATTGGAATTTTAAATTTGACCTTTGATCTGAAATATTTCTAGGATAGTGCCACTGCCTATCTTCTGTTCACTATACTTATTAATTTTATTAATCTGACCTCTGACCGGAAATATTTCAGAACTTTCTCACACAAGAAATATAAATAAACAAATGGGCAGCCTAGTTAATAACTTCCTCGAAAAGAAAATTATCTTCCTTGAAACCGTCTTTTAAACAATTCCTATGATCTAATATGCATATTCCGTTATTTTTATGTATGTATGTGTTTGTCCATAATGATTCATTTACCTAAACAATGTTCGTTCGGTCGTATCTGCTGTCTAGAATTTTGAAAATTATTACAAGTTGTGCAATAGTGTACAAATTAGCCGTGAAACTTGATGCACGTTGTCTTGGTCAGTGCAGGCTTTAATGTGTGCAGTACTGAGGAATCCTCTCCAGAGTGTCACCTGGTTTTCTATGATTCTTAATCCAGAATCGATTCATCATCATTCCTGGAAAATTAGAAGGTGAATATTTTTATATGACATGTAACATGGAACATTCATTTGAGTTTGATGAAAAATGAAGCCAAATTACTTCATTCTCGTTTTTTATCAGAAAACTTCAAAATATCTATCTGCCTTGATGGTAAGTTTATTATTAAATTGAGTGGATATTAATAAGTTTGGCACTCCTCCGTATGGACACATAAACACAATGAATTTTAGTCCCAATTACGTTATTATTATTATTCACTCGTGTTTCATTTGAAACATGGAGCATCAGGAGACTACACATATGTATCCCTTTTGCCATTTTCACACTTGCGCTTCCATTTTGTGTGTACGTGTGGTTGTTTGTGTATAGAAAAATTTCAAGGTCATTCGTTGGCTATATCCATTGGTAATTTCCAGATTCTAATTAATATAAACTATTTCTAACTCCACTTATTATAGACCCTAATTCGCCATGTTACCTGAAATCTCACAATTTTTTAAGCCTGCACTGTTTATTCTCATCTTTACATGCAAAACACTGTGCTAAGGTCAGTGCTAATATCCCTTAAATGATCATTCATGTTTCCATGTTTCCTTTCATTGCAATAGGTGTTATATCTAACTGGACAGGGTATAAAACGTTGCAGTAAGGCTAAGACAAGCAGTCTTCTACTAATTCGGTTAACCTTGTTCACTTGGACATCGGTGGTAGTAATATATGTATTGATTTCTATTATGTTACCAGGAGCTTCAAGCGAACTGCAGATGAACCAGAACGTTTTCTTCTTTCCTTTTGAGTGAAAAATGCCAAATTTTAACGCGTTTTCCGTATTACTAACAAAATGATTACAATTTTAAATACATTCCGAAATCATATGGTTTAACTTTCTTTATTGGAATATGGCGATATTCAGTAATGTGTTAGATATTTAAACATACTACATACGAATTTCGCCCAGCTATTGATGTGATCTACCGAATCATCGAAGACAAAAGAGTACTATCAGTGGTTTTGTCCGTGTTGAAGAGTATGCCTATAAGGCGCCCATAAGCTAGCTGAGACTGAACCAAGGATCCTAGTTAGCATCAGAACCTTTGATGAAATCAGGAACAAGTAGAATCCTCACAAAGTGACACTCGTACATTTTATTTCGATTTAATTCAAAATGTAAAAGTTTGAATCGCTTTTAAATGTGTGTTAGACGTATTTCATTGAAATCATTTAAGAATAAAAATCGTTGAAGGATAGTTTGAAGCACATTTCAAACTATTCACAGAATAAGACAAACGTACAAAGCCTGAGGAATTGGTACAAACTTTGAAGTTTCTCTGTTATAAAACATATACTGAAATGAGTTTTTAGTCCTACTTTCGAGGTTAAGTGTATGGTGTTTTCAACTCGTGTTAGGCCTTAAGATATTGGTGAATGTTTGAATGCAATATAAGTGTTTAAAATCATTAGATATAATTGTGAAGCGGTATGGATTGTGTTACCGAAGATATAAATCACGCATTCAAAACAGTCTCACAACTCGTCAAGTAATACCGAATGACATAGGACTCATTGAAAAAGAGTTAGGAGGGGTCATATAAATATCTGGCATAAACTCATCAGGTTTTTGACTGTCGCTTTCAACTAGCTGCGGAAGGAAGGTATTAAATAACTTGTCAGTTTCCGCCGAACTCTAAGAAGACGTAACCCAACTGAATGGACTTTCTCATCCACTAAATCAGTATTGTAACTTAAGTAGTCATTCGGTTTTAAATGCATTTTCGTTAGTTCCTCATAAAGTGTGAATTCGATAATTATTGTGAAAGTGTGAATTGATGCATTTCGACGTATATGACGAGGGTTCCAACAGTACGAATACGGTGGAAAAACACCAGCTGTTGCAGATTTTTAATTACTTTGCAAATACTCTGAAAAATGAATCTTTTGAGGCTTTGTGACTTGTCAGTTATGTGCTCAGAAGCAGTGGTTGACTGTTGAAGAACACTATTCATCTTGCAGGTTTCAGTTCCCGATAAAATCAACATTAGAAAGTTAAAACTTTATTTTGAAATGGTGAAAATAAATGAAAACTCAAAATGGAACTGACACCGTTCATCCATTTCTTAGTGGCGATAACACGTACTATTACACATCAGTTGGTTTGCAGAAGTGTCATTTTGTAAACCTGAGTGACAACTGAATTTCGAGTAATCTGGCATAACACAGGAAATCCAATACGAAATAAGCGGCTCCTTTTCTGTATGTCAGATAGCTCAACTTATTGACATGTCGTTTTCAGAAAGAGTGATATTATATTTCACCCTGAAATAACCTTTATAACAATTTTCATGGTATGTATGATCCCAGTGAAATCTTTACACGCAAGAAAGCAAAACATTGCGTCATTGTGAGCAAATTGTTTTGAATGAAATAATACGACGATTAGTGACACAAAAGTAGGATTGATTTCAAGATTCATTCATCATAAACTTAATTCGGTTTAAATTGGCAGTGGTAGAAGTAGATGAGCCATAGGATTCAGTCTCAAGCTGTAGGCTTGAAGTTTTAGTAGCATTTCTGTTTATTTTTATGGGATTAGGTTGGTGGTCTGAAGTTCACCATTCTCTCATTACCAATCTTTTTATTGACCTAGCGAAGTAAAGGAATGTGTCGGTCAGGGATGTAACCTCAAACCACATGCATGGTTAGCACACATTCTACCATTGTATTACCGATGCGTATATGCACCTGATTTTGCCTTAAACCCTAAAAAAATTATTTTGAGGAGTTATCGTGCACGGATGTGAGTCCTTTCCTCTTCCCTCTGTTTGGATTTCTAGATCTAAACACATAATTAAACACAAATCAACGAAACCAAACCTGATTATATAATTACCAGTTGAACTTAAACCTTCCATTACTTCACTAAAACAGACAATAAATAAAATCATATCAACTAGTTACTTAGAACAATTATGAATTCCTCTGTTAAAGGGATTTATTCTGAGTCATGAACATGCATTTAAACCAATGAGAATCATTCAAAAAAATGAGACTATGAGACGTCTAGTAAAAAAGAGAACATGAGAAGTATCTTTGACTTTCAGCTAGTTACAAAAACAAATATTAAATTACAAATAATGATGCACCAATCATATTAGGCCAGACAACATTCATAACAATCAATGTGATATCAATATTTGACCAAAAGTTCAATGTGCACCTAAAGCTGTAATATCAATGAAACGTATAAATGACAGAATCTAAAAAGTTGACTTTAGTTCACCAATATGAAGTCATGTAAACCCAAATGTCAACATACAAGTTAAGCAATTTTTATTGAATATGAATAAATTCCACTCAGAGTGTAAAGTGATTTATACCATGAACACGTACATCACACCAGCATTACTAACATCATTGAATAAAAAGCAGGATTAATTTTTGACTAAGCTATGGGAATAATTAATTTATGAAAAAATGTTATCTGATACAACACATCATTTCAGTTACTATTATTATTGCTATTAATGTTATTATTATGTTAAGCCTGATCGTATATTCCGTGTAAAAGGTAAGAGATACCAAAAGACGGGGCGTGAATTTATTCTGATATCATATGGTCTTTGTGTTTTGAATTCATATGCTACCTACCGAATTCCACGATGTGATGTCGAGGGTGACGATCATCTCTGTTCAAATGCTGGAAATTCTTGTCAGTAAAACAGTTCGAGGAAACTTAATCAAAAGCAGCAACTGCACAATAATTAATTCTGGTATTCATAGCCTGTAGACTGCTGATCTGTGATGGAGCCTAACTAAGTAACTCTTAATGCTGCTGATCTACGAAAGCTAGTCGTCGATGGCGTTGTCGTTCAGTGCCATATGAGTGGAATCCTTAAGTGGAAAACAGGGATTATCCTAAGATAGGTCAATCTTGTTAAGTCAAATGTCTACAGTCGAGCAAAACTTCACCCAATCTATTTAGCGATACTTATTCCGGTGGATTCTTACGTCACCAGTAGGATTTATAAATAATGAAATTCAATAAGCCAGTTCATTCTGTGAATCAGTGAAACGGTAGGAGACTGGATTGAGTAATTCGATATGCGTATAACATATAAAGCGCACGTTTTCTATGAAAAATTCGTTTCCGCCATTGAGATGTGTACCAGCATAATGTTTGACTGAAGTATATTTGCTTCTCAACTGGTTGATTTGATGACAACACATTCAAACGTCATTATTTCAGGAAATCAGAACACATAATATACTCTTAAATCTTTCTATTCGTAAAAACGTGTGACCTGTAAATTCAACTCCCCACCTATAAGATCAGTGAAAATATAAGTTTCAAAATACATATATTCGTTTCCATCTAAAGGAGTACAGTATTGCACGCGTCAATTTCAATTCATTTACAGTAGAACATTTCAAATATTTCAATTGCCATATAATGTTTCTTTGATTTTCCACACTACATGAATATAGGGAATGAGTGGAACATCGAAGGTTTGTCGGAAAAACAATATTTTCAAGACTTTATTTTACAGAATACAGTGTTTAGAGTTACCTCTGCAGAAGGCTGTTATCGAAAGGTAGGCTAATGTACTTGTATTTAGAAGGAAAATGAAATTCATCCAAGTATCTTATTTTATCGTGTTCACTTATTTCGATGACAATAATTATCACAATGTGCGCAGCGACCTTGTAAGTCTGTGTTGTAATGCTTTCTCTACACACCTTTTTACATAGACCAACTCTTCAACGCGCATACAGTAGACCAATGCTTCCATCCAAATTTATGTAAGTAAATCGACATCTAATACTATTATATGCACAGATGTTTTGTAGAATATCACATTTATTTTTACAGGACTTAAGTGTTTTTGTAGTTCTCCCTGAAAACCTCCAAAAACTACTACCTGTTAATTGATAGTTAGAAGAAGGCCACTTAAATCAAGGTTGTTCACGCCTATATATTTTGAACTGCTGTCAGGTTTTACTAAATTTTGATGCCAAACACTGATTGCACCCTACTCAACAGTCTTCCTTCTTCATTTCTGCATTGCATATGGTATCAGTTGTGACATGGTTTGATGGTTATCTTTGAGAAAAAATGACTATGACAGTTGGCTCACAAATCTCCATGTTAGTAATTTCACTAAGGCTGGAGACTCAAAACTACGTGAATTTCTTAATAAGAGTTATACACTACACACTCGAATTTACTTTTGAAAGGAACGGTGTGTAGGAAAATGTTACTGTGTTATAATTAGCAGTAGTATATATTCAGAAGTAATCTGGAAGACAGTGACTTTTAATATGACTGTAATATGATAATTTTATTGCTCTGTGGTAGCTTCTTATGCTCCAAGAAAATGAAGTCTTTACGATTTGCAATTCTGTTTGACTAATTGGTTTCAATATTTCCTTTTTCAGTGTACTTAGCTTAACGCTCACTGGAGTGATTCGGTTTGTTAAGATAGTTAAAGAGCGCTTGTCGGTAAATATTGGACTGTTAGTACTTTGTGTAAGTTTGATATGATAACATTTCACTGTAATGCTTTCATACAAGACAAATCATGGAAATATGTGGTTAATGAAATATCAGAAAGCAACTGAATTATTTTTCTGAGCGATGCATTTCCTTGTTATCTGAGTTAAACTCAACACAGTTACCAATTTTTCAGCATTTTGCCGGCTTACTGGTATAAAATAAGGGTAATCGGTTCGTCAACATAAGCGATTCCGATTACTATACATTTGCATATAAAAACAACAAAGTTCAGTAATAATGACTGCGACGGAAAGCTTTCCATTACCATCTCGGATATACATATATATATATATATATATATATATATATATATTAAAACAATTAGTCCCTTTGATAAATTTGAACAAGGCATTAAGAAGACAGATTTCGCGAGATGATATCATTTCGTAGTCTCTTTACAACCGCTTTACAACTAACATCGTTAACAATGATAAAATAAAGTTCATGAAAATTACTCAGTTAAATAAAAACAAAAGTGCATACTAATGACCAATCACATTAAGATAGGTCATATTTAACTGAGTAATTTTCATGAACTTTATTTTATCATTGTTAACGATGTTAGTTGTAAAGCGGTTGTAAAGAAACTACGAAATGATATCATCTCGCGAAATCTGTCTTCTTAATGCCTTGTTCAAATATATATATATATATATATATATATGCTATTCAAGACATCTCTGAGAAAAACGATCTTCGTATTGACTTCAACGATTTTGACAGAATAGCGCCGAAACCCATTAACATCTTTCACTGTCTTAGGGTCCTTGCTGTGTTTTATTTTATGGAAAATACTCATCGAGACAATAAAGACCGATCAGAAATTTCTAGAAAATTTGATGTTTATCTCACGTCCCAAGAAGTTAGTTATATATGGTGGAAAACCAAAATTGCGCAGATTGGATTAGGTCACTACTTACATTTATCCACATAGCATCTTTCAAACTACGTCAGGAAGCATCTGTTTCAATTCTGAACCACATGAGACTCAACTGAATGTTGAAATTAGCGTAGAATTTCTCTACATTCATCATAAGAAACCAGATATGTTACTGCAATAATAATTTCATCTGATTGCTAAGATGTGATTCGAAGAACTATTACATCAAGAAGAGCATTTAAAAGAAGCTACTACGGGCTACCACCAAAAACTGATTTCTTTAGCTCCAAACAGGAGAAGAAATGGATATTTCAACGCTATCAGCAATAAACAGCGATGACAACGAATTGGCTAACGACGTAAAGCCATGGAATGAAGATGGATATAACATAAGCTGTGGTAACTGTTGTAAGAGGGCAGATGCCACGGCTTTAAGTGGAACACAAATGATAAATGAGGAGTTCAATGGGGGTTCGTGGGAGACGTAGAGGATATCGTAGGACGAGACGAAAACAAATAGGCAGTTGTAGGGTGAGCTACAACGGATTGTAAAGAAGAGGGCGAAATGGAGATTTGCTGTTAAAGCATTGAGCTACCATTACAAACTAAGAGAATAAAATTATTGGTAAAAGTGTTAAGTGATCGCTCTATGATTTTGATAAAAGTCTTTAACACACTTAAACTATTTTATTCTCCATACGAATACTTTCATATGAATTTGTTTCATTGAAAATATCCATAAATCTGCACCTAAATCTAATCTATACACACTGTAGGTTTTATTGCTGTCTTGCGGAATAACTGGTCTAACATCAGCTGTTGGATTGTGGAATATTTTGTCAAGGTTTTTGACAATGGCTGTTTCAGTGGCTGCTCTGATTTTGGGATAAAAATGGTAAAGCTGTCTAAGAAAGCGAGCATAATAGTTTTGAGTTTTGCTGGTGGAATCGCGATGGTAGCCTTCATTGTGTGTATTACTTTGACGGCTACTGAAAATCATGTGAGTGGATGTTGACCTTGAGAAGAATATCTTCTTCTGAGTAAGTCATGTGATTTTGATATTTTAATATCTTTGCCTCACTGGTCACAGTATTTTGAACAAATTACTAGAAGTTTTTGAAGTAGTGGGATACCTGATAGTAAAATTATTCAGTCATCACAAGTACGATGTTAATAACGAAAAAGCTACCCTAAACATGAACTCTATATCGGTTCATAATTATCTTCAGTTCACCCATCAATCTTACTTTCAACATTTCTACACATGTTACGCAGTGTGTTATTTACAAACCTTTTCAGTACCACAAACTGCATTGCTAATTCATGGATCCTCATAACATTCATGCAGGTTTCTCAAATTCGATTTCCACTTGAATCACTTTCTTCACGTCTATAGATTTCACTGTATAACTTGTGTGTTTTTGCGTGATGATTTAGGTAATCGATATTGGTCGTTTTGTATTCCTTTTCGCCCATATTCCAAATATCATTCAGCCGACCTCGTCGTAAATAGTAAAGAGCAATATGTTTGATTGCTGATGTGGGCTGTATGTAGCCGATAACAAAATAGCCTGTGCACCTTTTCTGTTTTTAATTGTAACGAGTGAATATACCTAACATATCATAGTCAAGTAGTAAATAACATCAAAACATATGCGTCGATAACATTGGCTGAAGAGTATGCACTATGTGGCGACATCGCGAAAGTTATATTTGATGAGATTGTAGATTCGGTTAAATGTTGAAGCATAGTCAGAAGATGATTGGTTCTAGATGTCCCATGCACAGTATTGCCTGACTTCTAATGGTTATCTCACTGATGCCAGCTCACGATCAATTTCAAACATGGCAAAAATAGATCTCTTCACACGAAATATAAGATAAATATTCATCTAACTCTGAATGAATGTGAAATGGGAGTATTTTGTTTTTGTTATTTTTTAGAATATGTCAACCTATCTATCTTCCTTAATCTTTATTTTCGCCGTATTGACGGTAAGTCTCATCACGAATCTCAGTAATATTTGTAAGTTTGAAAGTTCGCATGATGGATAATGAATTTTAGTTTTGTTTACGCCATTATTGTCATCATTATTCCCTTGTGTCCGAAGAGAAACTTAAGGCCTCATCTGATTACATGGCTTTATCCTCATTGCCTTCCTCAAACTGATACTTCTACTGTTTGCTCGCATGTATGTGCGATTATCTGCTCATACCTATTCACAATTATTCCGTGACTTTGTGGAGACATAATTTTTAGATTCTGACAAATATAAACTAAATGATATAGAACTCGGTATATACCCTAATTCATGAAATTTCCTCAAATTGCACGAGTTATTCAGTCTGCACTACTTATTATGCAGAACACATCAATGCTGATCAAATGATCATATGATCGTTTATGTGTATATATTTTTTCTCGTTGTAATAGGTGCTATATCTAACTGGACAGGGTATAAAACGTTGCCGTAAGGCTGAAACAGGCAGTCTTCTACCAATTTGGTTAACCTTGATCGCTTGTACATCGGTGGTAGTAATGTATGTATTGATGTCTATTATGTTTCCGGAGGATAGAAGATACACCATAAAGACCCAAAAATTCTACGTCAAACTTTTGGCATGAATAATTCAACTTTCTACATATGTTTTTAGTATTGTTAACAAAATGAACACAATCTGAAATATAATTAGGGAATTATATAGATTGAATTTATTTATTGCACGTCGATGATAATCAATAATATATTTGATATAACCATAATGATTAACCTTCACAAATTGCCTTGATGAGAAGGCCTTTTGACAGATATAGAATTCCTTAGAAAATGAGGCATGAGGCAACCAGACAGTTGTATCCAGTGAGAAAATGTAACCATTCTAGAATGACCCACTTTGAAATCATACTGTTTCTCAGCTCACCGTTTTCTACCTTAAGCATGCTGAATAGTAGCATCACTGGTGACTATATAAGTGATTTAGCAGCAATACTAGATAGTTGTAAAGGATGTTGATCTCTACCAATCATGACTTGATCATCACTTGTACTTATTAAAATTCCGTTTCATTTAACTAATATCGGATGGTTATTTGTATATCATGCTAGCGGGAGTCTTAATCTTCATCCTCTGACTATATAGTCACCAGCAGCTGTGACGTTCACAGGGAACTCTGAACACTGAGCACCTTCAATAATTTGTGCAGTTGCTCATTCGTTTGTAGTAAGAATATCATCAGCTTATCTGAGCAGTAGACTTCATCACCTTCCTGGAAGGTCTTCAGAAATTCTAATAGCCAAGAATAAGCTATTGGTACCACCAGAGGTAGGGCAGGGACCACGATAAATATAGAATAATGAAGTACTTATACGTCTTATTATAGGAAGTTCTATCTAACTGTGTAAATCAAATTACTAAGCATAACATGACTCTGCTTGGGAGAAGGTTTCCACAAAGTCAGGAGATCATTCAAGCACTACAAACAGTTTAAAGAAACATGCCGTTGTTAGATTATTACTATTAAGAGGTATAATACAAACACTGGTTGTAAATTCATTCATCGCAATCATTCCTCATATGAGATAACTGTGTTTCAGAAGTCTCTCAGGTATTATTATTATATCGTTTAATTCCTAGAGGAACATAGGGCTTCAGCTGCGCATCTCCACTGCCTTCTGTTTTCTGCCAACTTTTTCACCTCACTCTAAGTCTGCCCACATGCTTTCATCTCCTCTTCACATGACCTCCTCCAAGTCACCCTTGCATCGACGACCAGCATGCAGGTTCCCTTTCGGGTTCCACTCGAGGGCTTGTCTAGTGATGTCACTTGATGGTTTCCTCAGCGTATGGCCAATCCATCTCCATTTCTCCCTGCGTATTTGTTTCGCAATCGGTTCCTGCTGAGTTGTTTCGCTCCCAGCGATACCTGTTGCTGATCTTTTCTGGCCATCTGATCTTGAGTATTGAGCGAAGACAACTGTTAATGAAGGTCTGTATTTTGTTTGAGATGCTCTTTATGACTCGCCAAGTCTCTGATCCATAAAGTAGAAATGACTTGATTCACACTGGAGTTGAAAATCCGGACCTTATTTTTGATGCTGAGTGCTGTTGACCTCCACACAGACTTAAAAGTAATGAAAGCTTGTCTTGCTTTTCCGATTCTGGCTTTGATATCCTCGTCAGTTCCGCCTGTAGTTGAAACGATGCTTCCCAGGTAGGTAGGAAAAGGAGGTTGTTTCTTTCAGGTCCCCCCATTTGTGCTGATTAGTATCTGCTGTTGTTACTGTTGGCATTGCCCAGAAATCTTCATCACTTCCATTTTCTGTATGTTCACTTGGAGTCCTATCTTTGATGCTTATTCTGTCGCCAACTTGTTGCTTTCCACTTGCATATCTTTCAGTTTGTGGAAAATCAGACATATATTATCGGCGAAGTCCAGATCCTCAAAGTTTTTTGTGTGAGTCCATTTTATGTCTGTTTCCTCATTGCCGTCGTCTGCCTCATTATCTAATCTACTGCAATCAGGAAGATCATTGGTGATAGTAGATAGTTAGCTTGTCTTACTCCCGTCCTCACTTCGAAGGCTTCTGTAAGTTTCCCGTTGTGGATTACTTGGCATACAGCATTGTCGTATAACTGTTGGCTGAGATGTATAATTGTCGATGGCACCCCGTAGTAGTGAAGTAGTTGCCAAATCACCTCTCGATCGACGCTCTGCTGCCGAATGCCTTTTGAAAGTCGATGAAGTTGAGATAGAGGTCTGACTGCCATTCCCAGATTTGTTTAGTGATGATCCGTAGTGTGGCGATTTTATCAATACATGACTTGTTTTTCCTGAATCTAGCCTTTTCCGGTCGAACTTTTTCATCCAGGTTGGCGTGTTTGATTCTCTGTAGGTTGATGCGGCTTAATATTTTGCTTGAGATGGATAGGAGCATAATTCCACGCCAGTTTTTACATTGACGTAATTCTCCTTTCTTCGGTAGTTTGAATAAGTATCCTTTCTTTCAATCCTCGGGTACCTTGCCCTCTTTAAACACCTTCTGCAGCAATGGCGTCATCAAGTGTGCTTTTGTCTATGGGTCCATTTTTAATGCTTCTGCTGGGATTCCATCTGGTCCTGCTGCTTTTGCAGCTTTTAGCATCTTGATTGCATTCAGGACTTCTGATTTCGTCGGGGAGTCGATGTTCCCTGGTTCTTCTGCCTCCGTTGTTGGTATTGTTGGGCGCGTTGTATGTGGCGGGCGATTAAGAAGTCTTTTGAAGTGTTCAGTCCAGTGTTTTCTTTGCTCCACCTCTTTGGTGATTGACTTTTCATTGTCATCCTTTACTGGCCCAATTTGTGTCGAGCTTTTGTCCGATAGGCAACTAGTTGTTTGGTAGAGTGTGGCCAGGTCTCCTTTGCCTGCATTCCAGCTTGTTTCGCTTCATTCGCCATGGCTTCATAATATTTTCTTTTGTCATCCCTGGTACGCTTCTTTACTATTTTGTTCAGCTTATTGTAGTTTGGGTTCAAATCCTGCCTTTGTTTCTCGTCGGTGCACTCGATAATCTTTTGTTTCACAATCCTTCTCTCTTCTATCAGTTTCCAAGTGTCCGTAGTGAGCCACTGTTTGTCCTGTCTCTTCTTTCTGCCTAGAACTTTTATGCAGGTTTGACTCCACACCGTTTTCAAGTTGTCCCAGTGCTTTTCAACGCTGACCTTTTCGCTGTTGTGGATTTGTGTCTCGGCTTTGTCTTTTATGATTGCAGTAAAGATGTCCTTTGTAGCCTGGTCCTTCAGTTTTTGAGTATTGAACTTGGCTTGTGGTCTATCTGCAGCTCCTGATTCCCTGAAAGCTTTTAATTTGACTAGGATTGTCCCTTGTACGAGATAGTGATCTGTGCCAACGTCTGTTCCTCTTCTTACTTTTGTGTCCAGTAGACTGTGCCTCCACTTCCTTGAGTAGCATTGAGATGAAGTCAATTTGGTTTTCGGTTTGCCCATCTCGTGACACCCATGTTGCCTTGTGAAAATCTTTGTGTTTGTATACGCCTCCACCAATCACTAGTTCGTTGAAGGCGCAGAATTCGGCGAAGAGTTCTCCATTTTCATTCATTTCTCCAAGAGCTTCTCTACCCATGATGTGTTCCCTTCCTGTGTTGTCTGGTCCCAGTTTGGCTTTCATGTCTCCCATTAGTAGTGTAATGTCACCAGCTGAAGTATTGTCCATTGTTGCCTGTAGTTGTCTGTAGAATTCTTCTTTCTTTTCGAGGTCTGCGTTATTTGTGGGTGCATAGCATTGTAAAACTGACACTTTCTTTCCTGTGGCGTTGAATCTTGCAGTTATTATCCTGGACAAATTTGCTTCCTACTCTCTGAGGTTAGAAAAGCTATTCTATTGAACGCATTCGTGTTTTCGACATATCACACTAAATTTAAAATACAGGTATCGTTGGTAAAAAGAACTAACAAAATTTCATCAACATTTAAGCCCACATGGTTTCATATTGTTGAACTGACGTTAAAGCTTCAAACTCTCTCAATAATACGTTTCACTGTTATTTATTAGCAATAAATGGGACGCTAAAGTTATTAGTGTACTTTAGACTTCTGCTCAGTAGAAAATTCTGACACCATATTGGTTGTTGTGAATAATCTCTTCTCCAGTGTGATTGAAGGGTTATCAATAGTTATCTCATACGTATTTTATACACTTTGTAAGTCATAGATACTTCTCATCTTTTAGTTTTTAGCAGTTGGAGTCTTGCAGATATTCTTTGTGACTGCTTCTGTCAAGCCTGATTCTATCCGTCTGACTGAAAGTGAACATTTTCTGAAATAAGGATTGTATGCTTATTCGAAACTTTTTTCTGTAAAGGAAGTAGGATAATTTTTATATTAACCTGACATTTCCTTGAGAGATTTTCTGAAGAGACGAGTGCTCCGAAAAATGAAGCAGATTTTTTCACAAACTCTCACTTTTAATTAGTAATAACAAAACAGGCAAACATGCG